GGACCTCCTAGACGCCAGTACCCAGTCCCTCTCTTTCCATGAGTCCAGAGTCCTCAGCTGCTCCCTCTATCCATGTCCTCATCTCTGCCTCCATCTCTGGTGTCACTGTTTCTCTGGATAGAGTCTCGCATTCAGCTTGTGCTCTTCTCCCTTTTTTTTTTTTTTTTTGTTATAAAACTTGAAATGTTCTTTTTGACAATAAATGTGACACCATTCCTCTTTGACATTCCCAGGATAGTAAACCATATGATGTCAGATGCAAAATAGCCAATACCAGCCCATTTTAGCTCACTAATGCCTAAAATATCGATCTTTATGCATTTCATTTAATTTTTGACAGCTTCTAATTTTCCTAGAATCATACTTCATACATTGCACATTCTGATTATTAATGGATGTTTACAGCTTTTTCTTCTCATTTTGCATTATTCCCCATCAGCAAATGAAGGTCCTGAAAGCTTTGATTCATTCACGTCATTATGGTCAACTATGCTTTGAGAAGGCAGCTCTTCCCTAGTATTATTTTGAGTGCCTTCCAACCTGAGGGGCTCACCTTCCAGCACTATATCTGGCAATGTTCTGCTGCTATTCATAAGGTTTTCATATTTTGGCACTGTATCTAACAAAGATACAGAGAAAAATGGAGACAAATGGCAATGTTCCACTGTTATTCATAGTCTGTCTTATTCAAAGTGTGTCTTAGTTTGGAAACTCTGCTGCAACCTGGTCACATGGGTGACCCTGCTGGTATCTAAAATACTGATGGTATAACTTTCAGCATTGTGGCAACTCATAAGCAACTACAATATGACAAACTTCAAACAAATGAGTGGTGTACAAAGAAATCAAACACTGTAATTCTCAATGTTTCTAATGTTATAAAGTGCAGATTATGAAATAAACATTAAAGGTACTATTATTTTCATTTTCCTATATTTGTATAACCAACTGTAAGGGAGTTTTAATGTTTTGACAAAAATCTTTAAAAATCACCAAATAATCGTGAATTTTCCCCTTTAAGATCACTTTGCACAGTCATTTTGATGGTCCAGCACTGTTGTTTCTAACCTTCAAGATGTTGTCCCTTCTTAATTCATGAATTATTTACTAATATGTTTTTAAAACTCCAAATGTATAGGTTTCTGTGGATATTCTTATTAATAACTTTATTGCACCAGTGTCTGAAGACACGGCCTGATAGGTAGTTCTCTAGTATTGAGATTTCCTTTGTGGTTCTGCTTGATAAAAAAATGTATTCTGCTATCACTGGATACAGGATTTTATATACCTCCACATATACACAACTAACAGTGTACTCAGATCTAGCCGAACTCATTTTTGTCTGATAAATTAGTA